CCCCATGCTCCTGGATTGACAGAATTAATAAAAACAAAATGGTGATCCTACCCATATTAATCTGCATGCTTAATGCAATCCTTATAAAATTACTAGAGAATTTTTTCACCAATCTAGAAAAAAAAAAAACAATCATAGAATTTGTCTGGAATCAGGAAAGACCATGTATTGACAAATTCATCCTGAGCAAGAAGAGTGGAGTGGGTAGAATCTCACTACCTGAACCCAGAATATATTACAAAGCTGTGATAACTTAAATAGGATGGTATTGGCACAAAATCAGACATGAGGACCAATGGTACAGAATAGAGACCCCAGAAATAAACCCCAAAGCATACAGCCAACTAATCTTTGACAAATGGTACCAGTCAGTCCAGTGGGAAAAGAAAACCTCTTTAGCAAATGATGCTGGTAAAACAGGGTATCCACCTGCAGAAAGATGAATCTGAACCCCTGTCACCATTAACAAAAATCAATGCAAAGTGGATCAAAGATCTAAACCTAAGACTGCAAAGTATAAAATATACTGGTGGAAAACACTGGGGAAACTCTGGGAGTTTGTCTGGGGTAGGCAAAGGCTTTAAGAAAGACCCCCAAAGCACAGGTAATAATTCTCAAAATAGACAGGTGGGATTACATCAGATTAAGAAGTTTCTGCACAGAAAAGGACACCGTAATTAGTGTGAATTGAGAACCCTCATAATGGGAGAGAATTTTGTTAACTATGCCTCAGATAAGGGGCCAGAATACACAGAGAACTCAAATGACTTATCTGGAAGAAAATGATTAACCCAATTAAAAGATGGGAAAATGAATTGAATAAACAACTCTCTAAGGAATACACAAACAGCCAAAAAGTATATGAAAAAATGTTCAACATCCCTCATTGTAAGGTAGATGCAGATCAAAATCACAATGAGATGCCACCTAACCCCAGTCTGAATGACTAAGACAAAAAAAAAAAAAAAAAAAGATAGTGCGGGCAGGGATGTGGTGAAATGTAGTTTCGTCCAGCTACTGTGGAGAACAATATTGAAGTCTTTCTCAAAGACCTTCAGATAGAATTACCATATGATCCAGCCAATTCCACTCCTGGGAATCTACCCAAAGGACAGGAGAATGCTCAGTCACAAAAGTGCTTGCACAACTATATTTATTGCAGCACTATTCACAATTGCTAAGACATGGAACCAACCCAAATGTCCACAAATGGATGAATGGACTGAAAACTGTGGCACATATACTCCATGGAATATTATTCAGCCATAAAAACAAGACCTGGGAATTTGATAGAAAGTGGACTAATATGAAAGGTTTGTTGCTGAGTGAAGCATGTGAGACTATGAAATAAAGATATTGTATGTCTCCACTTAACATATACAGACTGTCTGCACTCTATGGTAGACACTGAAAGACTGGAGGACATAAAAGCATTAAAAATTGTTATGGATACTGAGGACAAAGTGGAAGGAAAGTGTGGATGAGGAAGAATGCAGGAAAGGAAATTAGAGGAAAAATGGAGAGAGAAGATATTTGTGGGACACAGATGTAGTTTGTTATCTGTTGATGAAGATGTGTATAGTATTCTCAACTGGACTGAGATGTGTATCATGCTAAGTTAAGTCTCTTTGCAATTTAAGTAATGTATAGCAATTGAATGTATAAAAAATAATAATAAATTTAAAAATTAATATATACATAGTAACAAAACTACATAAAAATCTAAAGAATGATACAAAAATAAAACACTCCTGTAACCTAGAGAAAATTATGATTAACTCTTGGTGTATGCAGTTCCAAAACTTTTTAATGCACAGATACAGAAAAATTACACAAATTATATTTTATACCAAAAATTAACATGCTATATTCTCTACTTCACAGGTTTCTTATTCCACTCAGCATTGTGCCCCAGATAGATAATATATAAATCTGCATCACTTTAAAAGCTGTATAGTATTCTACCCAATTACTATTGAATAATAGTTATTTTTTTAACCTTAACTTCTAAATTTAGAATAGAGAAATTAGCTATTTATTGGTGAGAGGTATTCTTGTCAAAACAAGTTGTTACTCATTAATAAAGAAATGTCCAAAAATAAGTTAGTTAAATCTTTTGTCCAGAACTACATATGCAACTATAGTTACTTCATGCCACCTAACATAAATTATGCTTGAAGAATTATAAAAATTACTTATTCTTATTTATTTGATTATTTTTGCCAGAGCATACATAGGCTCATCAGCTACAGAGGAAAAGGGATGGAGAGAGAGACAAGTACCACCCCCCATTTTGAAATGGCCATATCGGTAAGAATTTAATTCTAATTGAATTAAGTATTCTAATTTAAATTTAAGTACAAATAAATTAAAGCTTCTGGTTTATCCTAATAGAGTCAGTCAGTCCAAGGGAAAGCAAACAAATTATGCCACAATCCTTTCTTCTCCATTTTTCAATCCTGCCAGGATTTAGGGTACACAAATCCACCGTGCCAAAACTTGAACAACTGGATCAGCCATATGGGATCTGGCTGGCTTAACCACTAGACCACAGAGCTGGCCAAAATTGTAAAAGTTCTATGCAACTTTAATCAAAAGAACCATCTCCTTTCTGCCAATCTCATGATACAGAAAATCACCAAATTCCTACTCAAACAATACACATTAAAAATTATTTCTAATAATATTTTTTCTTCTTTATTACTTTTCCTTCCTTATCATTTTTCCCTTTTGAGATCTTGCTCCTCTATTTTAACAATTGCCTACAGATCTACAGCCAGGAAACCCCCAACTAATTTATTTTTTTCTCTGATTATCTTCATCAAACACCTCTTAATCCTCACTATTTATTTATTTATTTGCTTGTTTGTTGTTTATTTTTGCTGTAAGGTATATGTGCTCCCTGGGGAGATAGAGAGAGGAAGGAGAGAAATAACCTAACAAGGGGGATGGCCATGCTTCAACCCCTCTCCTCCATTCTCCTTTCAGAAAATTTGGCATGCACACACACATGCTTGGCATTCTTTTCAAGTCCTCACGATCAGGGACTTGCACTGTGTAGTCAGCCATGTGGGATCCATCCACCTTAAAACTCCATGACACCTCCTGGTCCTAACACTCACTTATTTAAAAATAATAATAATAATAATAAGTTATCTTATTTACCACTGATCTTCACATGAAATAAAAATATGAACAAAAATGTACTTCCCAGGAGACAATATTTTGTTTTTAGTTTAAAAAGAATTTTTTTCTTTTTGTTTTTGGAGAGGTTTATGCTATAGGGTGCGTGCACTCACCAGAAAGACAGAGAGAAACAGAGAGAGAAAATGAGAAATCACCACCGGGGGGGATGGCCACATCGCAATCCCTTCTCCATTCTCTTCTCAGGATCCTCGGCATGCATGCACACGCTCCCGGCGTGAGTTTAAGTCACTGGGTCCAGGACTCAAACCGCAGTCGACTACGTGGGAGTTTAGCGACATAGCCATTACACTAACTGCCGGTCCTTTAAAAGGATTTTTTGGAGAGGTTTTTGCTATAGGGCGCGTGCGCTCGCCAGACAGACAGAGAGAGACAGAGAGACAAACAGAAAGCGAGAAATCACCCCCAGTGGGGATGGTCACGCCACAATCCCTTCTCCTCTGTTCTCCTCTCAGGATCTTGGGCACACACGCACACGCGCCCGGCATGAGTTTTAAGCCACCAGGTCTGGAATGCAAACCACAGTCGACTACGTGGGAGTCCAGCAACATAACCATTATGCCAACTGCTGGTCCCAAAAGGAATTTTTATGAGGTCAGTATTTGCTGTGATTGGCACTGGACTCCCACGTGGCCAACCATGATTTGAGTCCCAGACCTGTGGGATTGAAAATCCTGTGGGATTGAAAATCATGCAGGATTTGTGTGCATGTATGCCTAAAATCCTGAGAAGAGAATGGAGAAGAGACTGTAGCATGACCATCTCCTCTGAGGGGTACCTTCTCACATTCCCTCTCTGGGTCTCTTTCTCTCTCTCTGGTGAGCAAAAATGTCTTTAAAAATAATAATAATTTTGCAGCCAATAGGTGGTATGGTGGTTAGAGTACTAGACTCTCACACGCCTGACCTTGGTTCTAGTCCTGGACCTGGCAGCTTGCTTTCTCACTCCCCTTCTCTCTTGGGTCAGATTGAAGAATGATAATAAATAAATAAAAGTAAATAAATGATTCTCTAAATAATAATAATTTTTATTGTAATTTTTTAATCTACATATAGTAGTATGATTTTTCAAAGTACACATACAGGGTGAAATAATCAAATCAAATCAAATGAACATATTTACCATCTCCAACATTTTTCATTTTTTTGTATCATGCATATTCAAGATTTTCTCCATTGCTTATTTGGAAATACATATTAAATTGTTATCAACATTCTTTATTTTACTATGCTATACTATTTTATAACCCCCTCACTCTAGAAAATATTTTTTAAACATTTAAAGGCTAAAATTGTATAAATAGAATTTATATCTTTAAGCTCTGTTTACTACTCCATGCTAAAATTTACCAATTTGAGCCCATAACACTCAAATAAATGTCTTGAATTTTATCTTAGTTCTGTATGTCTTACCAAGAGGTGATGCAACAGAAGGCAAACTGTACTTCAATAGGAGGCAGGCATGAGCCAGCTGGCAGCACATAGTTAAAGCAACTGGATCCCACATGCCCAACTAGAATGTTCAAGTCCCAGGCACAGGCACTTGAAAAACATTCCTGGAGTGTGCGCATGCATGCCCAAAATCCCAAGAGGAGAATGGAGGAGAAGGGATTGCTGCATGTCCATTGTTCTGGAGAATGCTTTCTCACTTT